TGAGACAGGGTTTCCCTGTAGCCCCAGCTGGCCTGGAACGCACTATGTAGACCAGGCTGGCCTCAAACTCACAGAGATCCACCTACCTCTGCCTCCCAAGTGCTGGGTTCAAAGGCGTGCGCCACCACACCCAGCTGTTATATATATTTAAAAGCAATTGTTTTTTACAATTCATCTTAGCCAAAAGGCCAAAGTGCTGGGGGGCTAGGGGTGTAGTTGGGTTGGGAGGGTATTTCCCTAGCATGCATGAGGTCTTGTTTGATGATTCCCAGCACTTCACAAATCAGGCATGGTGATGTATACCTATAATCCTAGCACTTAGGAGGTGGAGGCAGGAGAATCAGAAATTCCAGGCCATCCTTAGCTACATAGCAAGTTCAAGACTATCCTGGGACACATGAGACCCTGTCCCCCAAAAACAAAACAACAGAAAAGTATGCCTGGCAGAGCAGTGGAGGGGTGAGGGCAAGGGATTGTACTGACTTGGATGGGGTGTAGCCTCCCAGCTCCTGGAACCACACCCATGTCCTGCAGGCAGGAGCTGTGTCACAGCTCAGATAACTTCGACATGTGCCCACTCTGCCCTGACTGCTCTTTCTGGCTGCTCTCCAGTGCCTGCACCCTGGCTCAGGTATGTAATGGGGGCTGGGGTCAGGGTGTTGGGAGCTGGCAGCTCCTCTAGGTCCTGGCCCTGACTCTACCTAAGCCATTCCTGCCCTGCCAGTCATCCCAGCTCTGTCACTGTGTGAAAATGGAACACTTGGTGAGCTCTGTAACCTCTATTGACCCATCTGGTATTCAGGTTAGGCTAGCACCTGCCTGCCTCACAATGACTCAGAGTGCTGCAGAGTAGCTCTTACTGTTCCTAGCATTCAGTACAACTAACCAAGAGACCAACCGGAAACCTGTCCCCAAGTCTTTAGCTCTGGCATCCTCTGAAACTCTTAGGGCACAGGCAGAGCCAAGAGAGGGGACTTCTGAGAAGGAGTCCCAGCCTAGGAACTGGCTAGAGATCAGCCAATGTGTTCCTCCTGAGTGTGGCCACTTTCCGCACATGCCTAGTGTTCTCACTGCCCAGGATGAACCCACACGCCTTTTGCCTGGGTCCTGGAAAGCCTCCTGTGTGTGTCCTGCTGTGACAGAGGCATCTCAGTGGCTTAGAAGGATGAAGGCTTACTCCCACACTTCCAGAGGCCAGAAGTCCTAAAGCTAGGTGCTGAATTCCCTTTGGAGAACAGCCCTGGCCTCTTGTTCTTGGGTGTTCCTAATCTGTGACTGCTTTGTTCTGCCCCTGCATCCTGAGTCTATCTCCACGGTCTTTCATGTGTTTTGGAACCTGCTCCATGGCTCTCTTATTGTGGATGAACATTGGGGTTATGCACCCCACTTTTCTCTGAAGATTCATACTTTAATTACATGTATAATGCAAAGACTTTTACTCAAATAGGATTACATTGGGGCAGCAGGTTGGTGGCGGGAGCTGGGGTGCTGGAGAAATGGCTCAGCTTTAAGCAGAGGACCCAGGTTGGGTTCCAGCATCTACATGGTGGCTAACAACTGTCTGTAACTCCAGTTCCAGGGGATGTGACACCCTCTTCTGACCTCTGCGGCATTGCATGACACAGGTGCACTTACATACATGGAGGCAAAATACACACACACACACACACAAAAATAAATAAATACAATTTTTAAAAATTTAAGATTACGGGGCTAGAGAGATGACTCAGCTATTAAGAGCACTGGCTTCTTGCAGAAGGCCCAGATTTGAATCCGAGCACCCACATGGCAGCTAATAACTGTCCAAAACTCCAGGGGATCTGACGCCCTCTTCTGTCCTGTGCAGGCACTGCAAGACATGGGTGCACTTACATACATGCACGCATAACATTCATACACATAAAATAAAAATTAATTTTAAAAATTATGAAAAAATTAAAAAAATGTAAGATTACATCCAAGGATACATACCTTCTGAGAGTCCCAATTCAACCTATAGCCCGCCCTCTGGCCCAAACTTCCTGTTCACCTCTGTACATTCACCCCAATATTCCCCCATGTCATTAGCCCTTAAAGGCCAAACTTTCTTCTCAGCATGTTCTGCTCAGAAAAATCCAAGTCAGAGATGAGTGAGGATGGGGTGATGGGCTGGGGCTGGGTTCCTTTGGTGCAGGGCTTGCCTAGAATGCAGGAAGCCCTCTGTTTGATCCGTAGCACCACATAAAACAAGCATGGTGGTGCATGCCTGAAATCCCAGCACCTGGGAGCTGGAGGAGGATCGGGAGTTCAAGATCATCTGCTATACAGTGAGTTTGATGCCAGAGTCTGGGCTATCTGAGAACTTGTCTAAGAAAAAATCCTGAGACTGGGTATGACTAGGTCCATGTGGTTCCTGGGCAGAATCCCTCTCCCTGTGGATCTGGTACTGGGAGATGGGTTATCTGCACTGTGGTGAACCTGTGTGGGAAGACGCGCCAGCTCCAATCAAGAACTGGGAGAGTGAAGTGTGAAGGGAGATCTGGAGCTCCCCTTCTTTCCTGCAGGCCGGGCGGCTGTTTGACCATGGAGGCACTGTCTTCTTCAGCTTGTTCATGGCACTGTGGGCTGTGCTGTTTCTGGAGTACTGGAAGCGGCAGAGCGCCACGCTGGCCTACCGCTGGGGCTGCTCTGACTACGAGGGCATTGAGGTGAGTGAGTTGGCCCCTGGGCACTGGGCTGGATGGTTCTTGGCAAGGGTCACCCTCCACTGAGCATGGTTCCCTTTCAGGAGAGGCCTCGGCCCCAGTTTGCTGCAACAGCCCCCATGACAGCCCTGAACCCTGTCACTCAAGAGGAAGAGCCCCACTTTCCTGAGAAGCTCCGTGTGCACCGCATGCTGGCCAGCTCTGTGGTGCTCCTGGTGATGGTGCGAAGTCCTGCCACCCTGTCTTCATCTTCTGCCTCTGTCTTCCTGAGTCACTGGGTGGTTCTGTACTGCTTGGGCCTGGGGCCAGAGCCTGATGTCTACTCTGAGCATAGCCTTCACTAGCGCCCCCAGAAAGGCCCCTGTGTCTTGTGCCTCAGGAAAGGGCCTGAACCTAGGGCAAGGGTGTGTGTCATGAGGGGCTCTGGGAGGGCTTCTCCATATGTGGCCTGAGGCACCCTTTAAACAACGGGGTGGATTCTAAAGACCAGCATAAGGCTTCCTGCAATACCTTCCAGCCAGACTTCTTAAAAGGACCCTGCCCCTTCCAGGTCCCAGGAATCCCAATTTATGGCTGTGAAGATGTGGGTAGGAAGGGTACAGTTCTCCAACACTGGGTGTAAGAACAACACAGAGTAACTTCCTGATACCCTGACTTCCTGATGTCCCTCCTGATCCTAACCTGCCCTGCCTCTAGATAACCAATGGAATCAAATGGGGCCCAGCCTGGAAGCACAGGAAGGCTGCAGGCAGGAGCCCTTGGAGGAGGAAACTGAGGAGCTGGCTGTGGGCCCAGAGGCTTGTGTGGGGCTGTGGCCTGAGGGGTGAGTGGGTGCTGGGGCTGCATCAGAGGGCTCAGGACCTCCATGGCCCTGCAGGTGGCTGTGGTCGTCATGTGCCTTGTATCCATCATCCTCTACCGGGCCATCATGGCTGTCCTTGTTTCCAAGTCAGACAATGCCCTCCTCTCAGCCTGGGTGAGTCTCTGCTGCCTACTTCTCTGAGGGCTGCTGACCCCACCTCCTACACCCCGTTCTGACCAGCTGTTCCCTATTAGGCCTCACGCATCGCCAGCCTCACAGGGTCAGTGGTGAACCTCGTCTTCATCCTCATCCTCTCCAAGATCTATGTGGTCCTGGCCCAGGTCCTGACAAGATGGGGTAAGTGGCTGAGACAGCCAGGCAGTGACCAGCCCAGAGCCAAGCATAGTCCCTCACTCCTAAACTTCCAGAGATTTCCCTAAAATGGCACAAGCAGAGCCTCAGTGGGGGGAAAGGAAGGCCAGGGGCACTCAGGGAGCCCTGCTCTGGCTCTCCCCACAGGACCCCTTAAGCCTATGCAATTCCCTGGGTGGGCCTTGAGCCTCTAGAATTCGACTAGGACTTCCATCAGGTGGACTAGTGGTGGGGGCTTAGCTGTAACCAGCTCAGACTCCTCCAAATGGTCAGCAAGTGCCTGCACCACGCCCCACCCGCCCAGGAGAAGGATACCCTCTCCCTCTGCCTGCTTTGCCACTGTTTCTCTGCCTGTCCTCACCTTCCCCTTAGGGAGCAAACACTGAGAGGCTGCTCTAAAAAGTTAGTTTCTTTTGTCTAAGACAGGGTCTCCCTGTAGCCCCAGCTGGCCTAGAACTCGCCATGTGGACCAGGCTGGCCTTGAACTCACAGACATCCGCCTGCCTCTGCCTCCTGAGTGCTGGGATTAAGGCATGTGCCACAACACCTGCCAGAAGTTAGTTTCTATAGCTGTGATAAAACACTGACCAAAACCAACTTAAGGATGAAAAGGATACTTATTTCATCTTAATCTTCCAAGTGACAATCCATCACTGAGGGGAGTCAGGACAGGAACTCAAGGCAGGAACCTGGAGGCAAGAGCTGAAGCAGAGACCATGGAGGACCGTTGCTTAAATAGCCCAGCCCACCTGCTCAGGAACAGCACCACCCACAGTGGGCTGGGCTCTCCTACACCAATCAGCAATTAAGAAAATGCCTCTCAGATGTGGCCCCGGGCCCACGATGGAGAAAATTGCTCAAATAAGGTTCCCTCTTCCCAGGTGACTCTAGTTTGTATCAAGTTGACAAAAAACTAACCAGCACAGAGGCCTAATCACCCATCTCACAAGCCCTTGTCTGTGCCAGGCCTGGCTGAGGCACTGAGGACAGTGGCAAAGCAAACTCAGGGTGCAATGATCATGGATCGGGGAGGGAATGAAGGACTAACAGGGGGGTGGGGGGGTTCTAGGTAGGCCTTTACCTGGAAGTGGGGCACAGGTAGCCATGTCCCAGGGAGATGGAATGGGAAGCAGGAGCTGGCCAGGGTGTTGCCACAATTGTGAGACTTTTAGCCCTTTTTCTCCAGCTGACCTTTTATGTTCCCACTTCAGCCTCAGCAATTTTTTTGCATTGTAGCTCAGCCCCCACGCACCCTTGGTCAGGAAACTATTTTGTCTCCAGGATTCAATTCCCCTGCCCCACTTATCAGTACACACTTTAAAAAATAGTTTATTGTTTATTTTATGTGTATGAGTGTATTTCCTGCATGTATGTAAGTGTACCCATGTCATGTAATGCCCGAGGTCTGAAGAGGATGTCTGGAGTTACTGACAGTTGTTATCCATCTTGTGGGTGCTGGGAGCCAAACCTGGTCCTCTGCAAGAGCAGCCAGTTCTCTTAACTGCTGAGCTCTCTCCAACCCCCTGTGCACACTTTTTTTAAAAACATTACATTTATTAAGTGTATGTGTGCTTGTGTGCCTTGGCATGTGTACACTATGGGGCATGTGTGCACTATGGCACATGCATGGGACTCAGAGCACAACTCGTGGGAATTGGTTCTTTCCTTCCATGTGCGTTCCAGGTCTCAAACTCAGGGCATCAGGTTTGGCCACGAGCACCTTTACCCACTGAGCCATCACAGCAGTCCTGCACACAGTTTTAATTAGGATACAGATTTTTTTCAACTATCCTAGGTATTACTAATTGTGTTAGTGACTTTTATGTCACTGTCACCAGACAGAACTTAAGGAGGAATTATTTTGAATCACAGTTTCAGAGATACCGTTCTGTCATGACGGGGGTGTGGTGGCTAGGAAGTAGAGAGAGGAATATGGGAGAGGGTGAGGTGACCTATAGACCCAAGGATACCTACTTCTTCCAAGTAGGCCCCACCTCCTAATTTCCACCACTCCCAATAATGCTAGCACTCCCTCAAGAGAGGATCCATTGATTATGTCAGAATCCTCATGATTGACTCCTCCAGAGGCACTCTCAAGACAGACCTAGTGGGGTGCTTTAATAATCTCCTGGGCATCTTTCCATTCAGTGAAGTTGACAGTCAAGACTAACCATCACATAATCAACATGTTTTAGGACAATTTTGAAATGAGAAATTTAGGAATGCTATACATTGCCCCCACCTTTAATGAATTTTTAAAAAATATTTTATTAGCCGGGTGTGGTGGCGCACGTCTGTAGTCCCAGCACTTGGGAGGCAGAGGCAGGCGGATCTCTGTGAGTTCAAGGCTAGCCTGGTCTACATAGTGAGTTCCAGGACAGTTGGGGTTACAGGGAGACCTTGCTTCAAAAAGACAAAAAAACATTATTATTTTTGTTTTATGTATATGAGTATATTGCCTGCATGTATGTAAGTGAACCCATGTCACATACAATGCCCATGGAGATCAGTAAAGTGCATAGGATCCCCTGGAACTGGAGTTATAGATAGATGGTTGTTAACCACCATGTGGGTGCTGGGGAATCGAACCCAGGTCCTCTGCAAGAGCAGTCAATACTCTTAACTGCTGAGCCATCTCTCCAGCAACCTCTGGACAACATGGCTTCTTCCTCACCCCTGGATGGGGATGTGGTCTCACGGGAAGGGGCAGCGCACTGGACGCTGCCAACGTCCCTAGGGACTGAGCAAAAGCCCCATGTGCACAGAGATGCACCGGACACAGACCATGTATGAGGACGCCTTCACTCTCAAGGTCTTCATCTTCCAGTTTGTCAACTTCTACTCCTCTCCCGTCTACATTGCTTTCTTCAAGGGCAGGTGAGTGGTCACCCTCCCCACTGGCCACCCCTTACATGTCACTTGGCTTTGCCCCTCTGTCTGGCATTCTCAGTACCAGGTGGAGATGGACAGGCCAGGGCAAGGCACTGAGGAAGACTCCACTGGGCTTAGCCTAACCAGGGTCTGCGGTCCCCCCTGGTCAGGCCTCAGGACTGGGGAGAAGGGAAGGAACTGTCAAAATTTAGTCTCTCACAGCCTGACAACTTGGACACCTCTAGGTTTGTGGGATACCCAGGCAACTACCACACTTTGTTTGGAGTCCGTAATGAAGAGGTAAGTGCATTGAGACATAACTAGGTAGGGATTGGAGGCAGGGCTCCCTCTGTATCCACTGGGGCCTTAATTTGCTGCCATTCTTCCTGCCTGTCTTATACCACTGCCCAAACAGTGCTTTAATCTAACTGGCACCCAAGAGGTATCTGGGCCCCTAGGATGCTGAGTGAGCCACAGTGCTGCCCGGGTCCCTGCTGGCCATGGGAAAGTGGAGGCCAGTGACTCACAGCTTCACTATCCAGGGTTCTCTCATGTCTTCCCTTTCCCACTAGCCCTGTGTTCTGTCTGGGGTTCTGGGGACTCTGGGAACCAGGAGAGCCTGGATCCCCAGATGTGCTGTGGGCTTTGCAGAGGACATGTATTGTGGGTGCCCCTGGAACAGACCCCAGACAAGCTGCTGGGGCTTCAGGACACCTGTGCAGACACATCAAGAGGGCACAAAGAGTGGCCTCTATTTGCCCAGACCCCTCAAGAACAGTTTCCTCACCTCTGGCCTTGTTAGATGAGGGTCAAACAGGTCTTTGCAGCTGGGTGGAGGCAGTGGATGGGTACATCTGGAGCTGTCCACTGGTGGCTGTGGGCTGGGCTTGGGGGATGTGGGGTCCAGCAGTCCTTACTGAGCTGAGCACCAGGTTTGAAAGATCCTTCTCTTTTTGTTTTTATTTATTTCTATTTTATGTGTAGCCCGAGTGTTTTGACTGCATGCATCTAAGGTATCACATGCACGCATGCAATACCTACAGAGGCCAGAAGAGGGCATCAGATCCCCTGGAACTGTAGCTCTGGGCTGCCATGTGAGTGCTGGACACTGAGCCCAGGTCCTCTGCAAGACCAGTGCTCTTTTTTTTTTTTTTTTTTTTTTCTTTTTGAGACAGGGTCTCCCTGTAGCCCCAGCTGTGCTGGAACTCACTATGTAGACCAGGCTGGCCTTGAACTCACAGAGATCCGCCTGCCTCTGCCTCCCGAGTGCTGGGATTAAAGGCATGTGCCACCACGCCTGGCAAGACCGGTGTCCTCTCTTTTGAGAGGAGGGAGAACATAAACCTCCCCAGGGTCTGGACCATGATCCTATCTTACTGCAAGGTAACTAGTCATCTCCCCAAAGGATGCTGCACACATTCACATAAGGGAAAGGAATTGCAGAGGAGAAGGAAGAATCAAGGCGCAGCTGGGGCTCTCCCTCAGGGTCATGGCTGTGGCTGCTACTCTCAGCTCTAAGTGAGATACCCAACCCAGACTGGCTTAAGCAAGAGAAGGGATTTCACTGTCTCTTACCTTGAAACTGCTCAGGACTCTGTAGGTCCAAGAATGGCTGGATCTAGGTGCTGTCCTTAGGACTGAACCCTCTCTGTCTTCCCACCTGGTGAGGATGATGTTCCACAGTGTGGCTGAGTCTCCAAATGTGCAGGCTGATGGCCTCTGGCTGAGCTTCCCAGAAATTCCCTGGGTCCCATTCTTGATGACCTGCTTCTTGGGTTTTCCCTGGAGCTTGTGGCTAGAGTTGACTTCTTGTAAGCCAAGGGTACCCAAAAGAAACTGAGGTGCCATAGGACACAAACTACAGCATCCCTGTCGTTCCCATACATAGCTAAGGTGGAGGGACAAGACTCTGCAACCCCAGTTATGTCCAGTGGGAGACAGGGGTGGGTTAGAATATCACCTCTGAAGCGAAAAAAATGCTAGGTGGGTGTGGGCATGGTCCTTCTCCCAGTTAACCTGGAGCTGTGTTACTACAGTGTGCAGCTGGAGGATGCCTTATCGAGCTGGCACAGGAGCTCCTGGTTATCATGGTGGGCAAGCAGGTCATCAACAACGTGCAGGAGGTCCTTGTCCCGTGAGTCACCCCACCCTGTTCTGGCCGCTTCCAGGGACAAAGGGATTCCTCAGAGTGCTAGGAAAAAGAGTGAAGGGGAGGCAGGATCCGCTGTGCCCCTGGACCTCAGAATCTTACTGTAAGGGTCAAGGCTGCCCCACCAAGAGGCTCACCCAAGAGCTTCTCCTTCTCATCAGTATGGCTTGGGTGTTGGGGAGCCTGTGGCTATCACTAATCCTGAATAGCTCTGTCAGGGGAGGCCTAGTTACTGGGAGGAGGTCACATGGGCAAGCACATCTCTCCTACCACTACTGACCAGAGGAATGAGCAAAGGGAGACCCTGGGCCTCAGGCTTGACCTCCAGACTCCTATCTGCTTCAGACATTCTTGCCAAGGTCCAGCTCCCCATCCCCACAGTCCTGAGTCCAGCAAGGAATCTACCCAAGGATGATCTCTTCTCCCATCTGAGGCCATAGCAACCTGGGTCCCACTATATCCCCAGAAGGCAGCTCCTACTCTGGCACCACAGCTCTAACAGTCTCCTCTCCGGGTGCATCCTGGCCTCTCAGGACTGCTGGTCCTCTTAGCTGTATTTGATAGTGCCAGGATGTACAGGTATAGTTCAGTGTCTGGTGCAGGCAGTGTGAGGATGCCAATGCACACCAGTGGCACTATGCAACTTGATTAAACACACATGCCCTAGGTATGAGCCCACATACAGCTCTGTGTAGCAAGGCACCATTCACAGGGGTCTGGTGTGAGACTCCCATTTGTAATGCAGCCATCACTCCCATGTGGCCCCTATATGATGAAACCAACACACCCAGGCCCAGAGGCTTCTGCTTTTCTGGGACTCAGCCATTATCCACCCTAAATCCTTCCCAGCCTGGACATGGTTTCATGACCAAAGGCTCTCAGGAACCATGCCTACTTTCCTAAGAGTAGTGCAGGGAAATGGGAGCAAAAATTCACATCCTTCAGTCAAATCTTGATTGAGTCTGACCTGCAGGGACTACAGCCCTGTCCAGCATAGCCTCTGAGATCAGCCACCAGAGGGCTCTGGGAGCAACCAGGCCATACCTGTCTTCCCATCTGCAGGAAGCTGAAGGGCTGCTGGCAGAAGCTATGCTCCAGGAGGAGGAAGCTTGGTGTGGGTGCCCACCCAGCACCATGGGAGGCTGACTATGAGCTGCTGCCCTGTGAGGGGCTGTTTAACGAGTACCTTGAAATGGGTAGGTGCCAGGAGCTGGGCACAAATGGAATGGGCGTGGCTTACAGAGATCTGGAGAGGAAGGAATGGCAACAGAGTCAGGATGGGTGGAAAGATTTGGGGAGGCCCAGGAGCCGAGCAGGGGTGTTAAGGGATAGCAGGCCCTGAGGCAGGGCCAAGGTTCTCCAGCAAGTGAGGGTGGGTATACCTGAGCTATACCAGCCTGGAGAGCTGATTTTCTCTAGAAGTTTCCTCAGTGATCACATATTCTGCTGTGGTGCCCATGGTGATGGCCCATATCTGTGATTCTTTGCCTGAAGGGGTAATGATGGTTTTTATGGCAGGGTCTTGGGTTAATGTAGGTCCCTGCAGCTGAGGGTGTTTGAGCAATCACTGGAGAAATGGTAACAGTAAATGCTGCTTCTCAGAACACAGGACTCTGAGCTCCCTGTGGATAAAAAGGAGTAGGGCATGTCACAGGGAGCAGGTTGATTGTGTCCCCAACCCCTGGACAATGGATCTGGACCTCACTAGCAGTTTTACAGAAGACCCCAAGAAACCCTTTCAAAGAATCATTTCCCGTATGTTTCCCCTGGGATGGTTCTAAAGCCGGAAGTGGGTTTTGCGGTCCTTCCTGCTATGACAGTTAGAGACCCTGACCTCGGGTGTGCAGGGCCATTCAGGAGCACCAAGAACAGAGCAGCTGCAGAACAGGCCTGCCAAGACTGGGGCCAGTCGGGAAGGTGGGCAGTGGCTCTGGAGCTGAAACCAACCGCCAGGCGCGGCGGTGTGTAGGCCGGGCGCCCCCATGCCTGCCAGGGCCCTCCGAGCCTTTACGAGCTCTGGTCTTGGCGGAGAGGCCCTGGCAACCAGTCGAAATGCCCCGCAGTGCTGCAGTTCGGGTTCGTCACCATCTTCGTAGCCGCCTGCCCGCTGGCACCGCTGTTCGCTCTGCTCAACAACTGGGTGGAGATCCGCCTGGACGCCCGCAAGTTGGTGTGCGAGTACCGGCGCCCCGTGGCCGAGCGCGCCCAGGACATCGGCATCTGGTTCCCCATCCTGGAGGGCCTCACGCACCTGGCGGTCATCAGCAATGTGGGGCACGGGCGGCGGGGCGCGGGCGGGGCGCGGGTGGCGGGGCGCACTCGGCGCGGACCTGACCGCCCCCTCGTAGGCCTTCCTGCTGGCCTTCTCCTCCGACTTCCTGCCCCGAGCCTTCTACCGCTGGACGAGGGCGCGAGACCTGCGCGGCTTCCTGGATTTCACGCTGGCGCGCGCGCCGCCGACCTTCACAGCCGCACACAACCGCACGTGCTGGTGAGCACTCGCGGGGCCGGGGATCTGTCCTTTGGGTTCGGGCCTCGTTTTCTTCCAGGTGTAGGCTTAAGATTGATCGATTGATGATTGAATGTGTATGTAAGTACGTGCACCACGTGAGTGCAGTGCCCGTTGGAGGCCAGTAGAGGACTCGGGACCCTCTGGAGCTGGCGGTACAGGTGGTTGTAAACTGCCCAACTCGGGTGCTGGGAACTGAACCCAGGTCCTTTGCAAAAACAGCTAGCACTCTTAACCATTGGGCCATCTCTTTACCCCCAGATATAGGTTTTTGATGATTGATTTTCGAGAGGGTCTCACATATCTCAAGCTGGAATTCTCTGTGTAGCTGAGGCTGACCTTGAACTCCTGGTCTTTTCCACCTCCCCAGTGCTGGGATTAAGGTGCTGCCCACTGAGTCTGGCTGCCAAATATAGCTTGTGTCTATTTTCTTTTCCTTCCAGAGTTGAAACCTGAACTCCCTTTAGTCTTTCTTGGGTATCAGTAAAGGAATCTATTTACAACAGACTTGGTTAACTCTATTAATGCTTTGTTTTGTTTTGTTTTTGTCTTTTTGAAGCAGGGTCTCCCTGTAGCCACCGCTGTCCTGGAACTCACTATGTAGACCAGGCTGGCCTTGGACTCACAGAGATCCTCCTGCCTCTGCCTCCCAAGTGCTGGGACTACAGGCATGTGCCACCACACCCAGCTAACTCTATTAATGTTACTACACCTCTTTTACAAGTTTAATTCTTATTTCCATGAATTATTTAGAAGTACTTTTACTAACAACTCTGTGTGAGGTTTTCTTCTTGCTTCTTAAATGAGGATTCTACATTGTTTGTAAGTTAGAGAACTAGGCCAACATGTAGATTTCATTTGTTGAGGCTTTTTTGATCTGGTTACAATGAATCTTTGTACATTTCACATGAACTTGAAAAGGCCTGTTTTTGCTTTATGTGTTTTGAAGTTCTTAGTTGCATAAAGCTCATATTTGTGATCTCTCAAAGAGAATCCTTTTTCCTTTTATTCTTTAAAAGCTTTGATTTATGGGGCTGGAGAGATGGCTCAGCAAATAATAAACAGAAATATTAAATTTTTAAAATTTATTTTTAATTTTTATTTTTATTTTATGTGTATGTGTGTACAGCCTGCATGTAGGTAAGTCCACCCATGTCATGCAATGCCTTCAGAGGTCAGAAGAGGCTGTTGGATCCTCTGGGACTGGAGTTACAGACAGTTCTTAGCTGCCATGTGGGTGCTGGTAACCCAATCCAGGTCCTGTCCAAGAGTCACCAGTGCTCTTAACTGCTCACTATCTCTCCAATCCCACCTTTTTATTCTGTATTTCTCCTCTGTTGCCCTTTGGTGGATAAGTAAGTATATCCTATAATTTCTTTTCTTGTATGTTCTGTAATTATGTATTGTTTTTAGCATACATTCCTAATGAAGCCAAGGTGGGTTCAGTTTTGTCCGCCCTCCTTCACAGGGATCTTTACCCCTTTACTATTCAGCACCAAATCACCCTATTTTGTTAGGAAATTTTAGCTTTACTTTAAAAAACAATACACAATTTTTTTTTAGTCATTTTACCAGATTTACTGAGGTGCCTCATTAATTCTTCTGGTCGAAGTTGTTTCTTGCAGGAGTCAGCTCTCTTTTTCTACCATGTGGGACCTGGAGATCAAATTCGTATATCAGGCTCTGGCGAGCAGCTTTACCTGCGGAGTCGGCCTGCTGCCCTGTAGTTGCTTCTTTCCTGACACCTTCCCTCTGAGTTAATTTTTCTTCCCATAGAAGTATTTCTTTTACTAGTTTTCAGTTTCTTCAAGAGTGTATGTGCCAGTGTGGTAGGGCACACCTTTAATCTCAGCATTTGGGAGGCAGACGCAGGTGGATCTCTGTGAGTTCCAGGCCAGTCTGGTCTACATGGTGAGTTCCAAGCCAGCTGGGGCTACAGGGAGACCCTGTCTCGAAAAAAAAGAAAGAAAGAAAGAAAGAAAGAAAGAAAGAAAGAAAGAAAGAAAGAAAGAAAGAAAGAAAGAAAGAAAGAAAGAGAAAGAAAGAAAGAAAGAAAGAAAGAAAGAAAGAAAGAAAGAAAGGAAAGAGAGAGAGAAAGAAAGAAAGAGAAAGAAAGAAAACAGTATGTGAATGGTACTCAGGTGTTTTATTTTGTAAAGACGACAGTCATGAGAGTTATGCTATGTAGCCCATGATGGGCCTGAAATAACAAACTCACAACGTAAACCTGGCTGGCCTCAGACTTAGTGATCCTCCAGCCTCAGCCTCCCAAGTGCTGGAATTATAGGCATGTGCTATTATGCCTGGCTCAGTTCTTATAAGTATGTGAAAATATTTCTCTGTGTCCTTGTCTTTCACATGACAGGTATAAATTCTAGCTGAAAATTTTCTTGGTATCTTAGGAAATACTAATTTTTGACTTGCCACAGCATCACTGTTCAAGTTCAAGGTCAGCCTGGTCTACATAGTGAGCACTAGGTCAGCTAGGGCTACAGGGAGCTCCTGTATCCAAAAAAAAAAAAAAAAAAAAAAAAAAAGTCTTGCCACAAAGCCCAGGCTGGCCTACCTCAGTCTCCCAGGGTAATGGATTATAGGCATGCCATGCCCAGTTGGTAACTTGGATTTTCTTGTTAGTAGCATTTAGATAATGTTCACAATTTCTCCCTCATTTTCCTTTGTTTTACTAACACGTATCTGTCAAGGTAGATTTGTTTTGAAAGTTTCTGAATGAAATTCAGAACGTGCTATTGATCTAGAATGATGTCTTTGTTCTGGAAAATCTCTATTTTATTCCTTAATTAATTAATCCCCTCCTACCTTAAGCATCCTTTCCATTTTTTGTTGTCTGCCCTCTGCATTGTACTTGGGGGAATCCCATCACCATCACCTTCCAATCATCTCTGGTTCTTTCCTGTTCTACCCAGTTTAGCCACTTCAGGTTTATCCTATTCATTGAGTCATTGAGGATTTGTTAGTCAGGCTTCCAATGCTGTGACAAAATACCTGACATAAACTCTGTAGAAAGGAGAAAGGATTTTGTTTTAACTCACAATTTGAGACAGGGTCTCCCTGTAGCCCCAGCTGGCCTGGATTCACTATGGAGACCAGGCTGGCCTCGAACTCACAGAGATCCGCCTGCCTCTACCTCCCGAGTGCTGGGATTAAAGGTGTGCGCCACCATGCCTGGCTTAGCTCACAATTTATAAGGCTTCAGTCCATGGTCACTGGCTCTGTTTCTGGGACTATGGCTAAGGCAGAACATCATGGCAGAAGGGTGGGTGAGCTGAGCTGAGCTGCTTACATCATGATAGCCAGAAAGGAGGAGAAAAGACCCAGGCAGGGGCCAGAGTCAAAATATAGCTGCCAAAATGCATGCCCCCTAGTCAGCTGCCTCTGCCAACTAGTCTCCCTCTGAAGTTTCTACCACGCCCCCAACAGTGCTACCACTGGAGAATAAGCTACCAGCACGTGAGCCTTCAGTGACATTCCAGATCCAAACTAGAACAAGGATTCTTCTGTCAATGATGTTTTTAACTTAGTCCCCTCCCCCTTTCCCTGGGTGCAACAGAAGAGAGTGTCACGTCTTTACCATGTGACAAAAATAGGAAGATGGCAAGGGCTGCAGAGGTATGAGATGGCACAGGAATGGAAGGCAGCGTGTTCTGGTGAGGTGAGCCCTGCTGAGCAGGCACCATGGAGCAGAGCAGCTGCTGACACAATCACATCTTCAGGGTATACACAGAGGGATATCATTTGTAGAAACACAGTCTTATTGGGCTGACACATTTATTAGATTAAGAAATCTGCAGCTTGGGGCCCAGTTTAGCCCAATGGGGCAACAGGAAACCCCGCCCAGCTAAAGATACTAATTCCTGCTTCAGGGACCATGGATAGAGAGCTGGCCTGTGGATGGCCAAGAAAGACTTCCCGTACCACCTGCCAGCCAGAGCTCAACACCAGTGCCCTACCCGAGTCCTGTGTCTCCTGCAGGTACCGGGCTTTCCGGGATGATGATGGACACTATTCCCAGACGTACTGGACTCTCCTGGCCATCCGCTTGGCCTTTGTCATTGTGTTTGAGGTACCCAAGGCACCTGAAAGCTTCTCTAATGACCTGCTTCCCTTGTTGATTTCTATACTTAACATGATGGCCCTGACCTACTTTGCCTAACCTAAGCCTGTGGCACAGGAGGAACCTGTGTTCCTCACCAAATGAACCCCCGCTCTGCCCTCTCAGCCCATCAGAGTTCTGTGTAGTTTTGTTTCCCGTGTTGTTCTGTCCCTGGCTCATGCGATGGGCATTTGAGTGCTTTGAGGACTGCAGTATGCTCTAGGAAACTGCAGGGCCATGCACCCTGGGGTGGTCTCCATGGCCATGGGCTCTGTTCCTTCTGCACTTTCCTCTCCTACATGGCTGCTCTAGCTCCACCCACCTGGGAAGCCTGCCTGATTCCCTGATGGCTAGTCTGGGCTTTTGTTTTACCAAGGGTGTGGTGGGCCTTCTACCCCTAGCATGTGGTGTTCTCCGTTGGCCGAGTTCTGGACCTCTTGGTTCCTGACATCCCAGAGTCAGTGGAGATCAAAGTGAAGCGGGAGTACTACTTAGCCAAGCAGGCTCTGGCTGAGAATGAGGTGAGCTCTCACGCCCAGCCTGTCTGCCCCACAGCTCAGTCCCTCATAGTCCTCCAGGCCATGTGACTAAGCGTGGACCTTGGTTTCTATGTTTGGTCCCAGCTAGCACACCTACCAAATGGATGAAGGAGTGAGGGTTTTATAGTCCCTTCTGTTCTGCAGTCTGTCTGAAGACACATTTTCTTCATGACAGGCTCTCATTGGAGCATCGGAAGCAAAGGATGACCAGCCCCTAAGCTCAGAGCCAAGCCTGGGCCTTCCAGCCTAGGATTCTAGAACTGACTGTCCCCTCTGGGTTACCAGAGGCCCAGCAGCTGACACATCTGCCTGAAGATACAGCTACTGTGGCTCTCAACTGTCAGAGTCCTCAGCTCACACATCCTGCCTGGTCCCTGATCCTACTAGATGCCTCTCGAAGCCACCCAGCTGGAGCAGCAGTGCCCAGGGACATCTGGTGGCATTCATGGGCCCATTTCTTACTGTCCTTCCTAAATTCCATGAGCCAATGACTTGTCTTCCTGTACCTCATGGTAAAAGGGCTCCATTTGAAACACTGGCTTCTGTGGTCCCCATCTTTATTATACTCAAGAGCATACCCTGCCCTTGCCTCTTGTTCCCCAGTAGGGAGGAACCCCGTTTCCTGTCCCCAAAGTCTAAGGGTCCTCTACATGCATTCCTGATCCCCATCCTGGCCAGGAGGTGGCCTTTGGTGTCTACACATTCCCCACTGATGGCTCCCCCTGCCCGGCCCTAGACACAGTTCTTCTGCCCACTGAGCTGGTGGCCTCTAGGGCCTTTCCCCAGTACTCCTTGAAGCTGCTTCCCTTTGAGTGGTACTTTAGGGCCACTCTCTGGCTCATGCCTCCAGACTCACCCTCCCATTGCCCCTCCTCACAGGGTTCTTACCATGCTGCACACCTGACTCTTAGACCTGACACCTATGTCCCAGCCACAGTAGGGAAGCTGCTCAGGGTGCCCTTCCACTCCTGATTACCCAAAGCCTCTTCTCGTTTCTTGGCCTCTCCATCCTGATAGATCAGGGGCCGCTGTGGCATCTTTGTCTCTTGTACACTGTTAGCACTGGCAGCAACCAGCTCACCCACTGCTGGGCGAGGGACTCAGCACACACACAGTAAGCACTGAAGGGGAAAGGCTGTGGGGATGAGGTGTTCTGCCTTGATAGTAGCAGCAGAAAATCCTGAAGAAAGCATATTCCTGTAGCGTCTGGTGGGCCTTCCCCGGTTTTGTACAATTGCTTTCCAAATTGGTTAACAGGACACAAAGTTTTGGCTTTTCCTGTTGCTAGTTAATTGCCAGTTATTTATTCATACATTCCCTAAGTTGGCTGTCTACTCACTGATGGGATATGGGTATTCTCTCCTCTTCCACCACTGGACTTTGCTGGAATAAAGGTCTGAAAGGCACATGTTAACATCTGCTGGTTTCTATAGGGTTGTTAGGACAGAGGTAACAAGAGGGACACGTAGTTTTGGAAGGGCTGTGAAGCGGCATCCACCCTCCCTCTAAAAACCTCTTTCTGCCGGGAGTGGTGGCGTATGCCTGTAGTCCCAGCACTCTGGAGGCAGAGGCAGGCAGATCTCTGAGTTCAAGGCCAGCCTGGTCTACATAGTGAGTTCCAGGACAGCTGGGGCTACAGGGAGACCCTGTCTCAAAAACAAAACCTCTTTCCAAACAGTGCTCTTGCCCACCCCCACCCACTGCTGAACTTTGGCAACCCATGTCTCAGATACAGTTCTGCTTGCTCCAGCATTTGCTGGGGGTTGGGGGGGCATGCGCCACAGCTGTGGTGTGGTCACTGGCATTCCTTTTGGACTTGTCACTCTATCACCTTTGTCTTACAGTGGGGCTGGTGGTTTGGAGGGAGGTAGTGAGTTGGACTGTGTGATGGAAAGAGACACGTCCCACTACAGGCCTTAAGAGACTAGCAGCTGGAGTGATGGTCCAGCTAGTTCAATGAGTGCGTTTGCTCAATAAAGCCTTTACCGCAGGACCCACATGTACTTTGTTGTTGCAATCTTTCAAATCCTTTTATTATCATCATTATCGTGGTGTGTATGTGTGGGTAAGTACAGGAGTTGTATGTGCCACAGTGAGAATGTGGAGGTGTGAGAACGACTCTGTGGAGTCAGTTCACCTTCCACCACAGGTTCCAGGGAGAAACTCAGGATTGTGCAGCACGCACTTTTACCTGCTGAGCCATCTAACTAGGTTTATCTTTAAAAGCTTAAGGAAAAATCACCAAACAAAAGAAATGGTGGCCCATGCATTTATATGCTCTACCCACAGGGAACACTAAGCTAGGAGTGAGCTATGGATTCCCAGGGATTTCCATTGGACACCAGGGCCTCATCCACAGTGCTGTGGACTCAAGCTGGCTGCTGGAGGGACCTGGAGGTAGACCTATTGTGGGGTACTGTCCTAGTTTGTTCTTCATGGCTGTGACAAAACACTCTGACCACTACCAACTTGGGGAGGAAAGGGTTTATTCAGCTTATATATCCTGGGTCACAGTTCATCCAGGAGCCCAAGGTAGGGACTCAGGGCAGGAACCTGGAGGCAGAAGCTGGAGCACAGGCCATGGAGAAATGCTGCTTACTGGCTTGCTCTCCTGGCCCCTGCTCAGCCTGCTTTCTTATGAAACACAGGCCCACCAATCAGAGATGGCACCTCCCACAGTGGGATGGGCCCTCCCACATCACTCATCAAGAAGATGCCCCACAGACATGGCCACAGGCCAGTCCAATAGAGGCAATTCCCCAACTGAGGCTCCCTCAACCCAGGTGTGTCAAGTTGACACTAAAGCTATCCAGCACAGGTACCTTTTTTTTGGGGATGGGACCATTTTGCTGATGGGCCTTGCTGTAGGATATATATCCTGAAGTGGAGATGCTGGGTCACTAGATACAAGCTTGGCTTTGATAGAAACTGCCAGACCAATGTACCAAGTAGGGACCAACCTTCTCAGCAGAGGTGCTAGCCTCCTGCTCCTCTAGCTTGTTCATGGGATCTTCTACCACATGGGGATTGGAGTGGTTTTTCCGACTTAACCTCCTTGCTCTGCCCTCACCATCTCCCTGTGCAGCTCACAGCCCTCCAGCAGGGACCTGCCACCAGGCTCACCCTCAGCCTGGGTGTCAGGAGCCTATCATGGGAATACTGACAGACAACTCAGAATCCTGCAAGGACAGTGAAGGACTGTGCTGCTTCCCAAACAGAGTTGTCTGCCCTCCACAGTAACAACTGCAGGGCAGCTACCGACTGGAGTGCAGAACTGGACCGAGGTGCAGGAGGCAAGACTCCATACAGACACCACTGGGCCACCCTTTGGAAGGGACACGAACAGTGCTATGAATTACTAGCAGGTCACAGCACAGACCAGGGAACTAGAAGATTATCACCGCTTGTCCCGGGAGATCACAAACTTGACAAAATGAGTCCCACCACGCTGCATCCGGTTTTGGGTTTTATTTTAGAATTTATAAAATTCCAGTGTCATCCATATTCATGAGCCTTTACACATGTTTGCATATAATCTCCAAATTCCAAAGTTAAGGCCAAGGGATGGATGTAGCTATGGAAACATAGGAGATGGAAGACATTCAACAAGGAGGAAAAGACACTCCCCAGCCCTGCCCAGGCCTCGACAGCTTGGAGGCTGCAGGGACGTGGCCTGGGTACAGTCAATTTCATAGTCCTTATTAACAACCAGAGAAAAGGAGCGAGACCCTGAACAGCTTGCGGTAGGGCTTACATCTACAGCACTTAGCAATAAATGGAGATGTGCAAAGTTCTGTTATGATAATTTAAACTCTATCTCCTGGGGAGGTGAGGGGCCTGGATGTTATAGGATGATGTGTAAGATGAAGAGGGAACTGGAAGGGCAGGAGGGAAGCAAGGTGCCTAATGGGAAATGCCCCCGATCTCCTGTAGATGGGAGCGGTGATTAAGTCTTCTCCCTGCTCACCCACCAGCTCACTCGGGCCACCAGCCTACTGAGCAAAAATGTTCTTTCCTGTTTCAGTTCCTATAAATGGGCACATGTGGGGCTGCCTGAGATGCAGGGAACTGAAGTTAGACCCAGAGAAGCAAATCTGGGTCCTCTGAGAAGTCAGTCTACAGGTGGCCTGGCCTGAGTTATGGTGAGTGAAAAGACTTAGGGCAAGGTGTCACAGTAGAAGTGCTAGCTCTTAGGGAAGGCCTTGAGATGTGCACAACTTGGGTTTTCTAGGAACCCAAGTATCTGGGACAGGACAACTTGCTAGTTGCTCGATAGATGACCTGGAGACAAAAAGACCTGTTCTCATTCTCCACACACTGATGACCCTTCAGCCTGGGCCCACCTTTCCTGGTAAGGGTGGAGCTGGAGCCTAGCTGACTATTACACCTGAGGAATAGCAGTTCTCCCTCAGCTAGTAGGGCTTGTTTCTCATTCTGCCTCCCCTTTTAATCCAGGCTAAGTGACAAGCCCTGTCTCTGATCCCTGCCCCTCTGGCCTGCATGAAGCATCAAGGCATACCTGCCAGAGCCTACAAAGTCAGGCTTGCTGGGAGTGAGCACCCCACTCTGGACCAGCCCGTGAACCACCCGGGCTGAGGGAAGCCATCAGCCTCCCAGCTCTGAACATGCACCCTCCCAACACAGCAAGCCCAAGACCAGTAGAAAAATCTAAATCAAGAGAAGAGCCTTGGGGGCGGCACTAACCTACACAAGAGCACTACCACACCGTCTGAGGTAGAAAGAAGGCCACTGAGCACAAGGTGTCTGGGCGAGGCAGGCACAGGGACAAGTGGGAAAGTCTGGGTGTCACTTAGAGGCAAGCCCTCCACCAAGAAGAAGCGGTATCTACCTCCCTGTCTCCGCACTCCCTGCCACTGTGACAAGTCACAGGGGACCCAGGTGACATACATGCAGCCTTGCCTCTAGGGTGCATGCACCGGATCATGGGGCTGAGGCTGCAAAGGAAGCCCCTGGTGCTTTCAGACCCCTAAGTGAGTACCATCTGAGGACCCAGGCCACCCTCCACCTCCCGGTCCCTTCTATCTTCAGGACACCTGACCTCCTGCTGTCCAATGCCAGGCCTTCCTCCTACCATGTGGCCTGTGCTAAGTAAGCAGACTTTGGCAGCTGGAGAAGACTGACTGCTTTCCCAGAAAGGAAGGTCTGGATGACAGACAGCGGGCAGGAGGGAGGTGGGAAAGGAAGAGGGCAAACATTTTGGCTTTTATAAAGTCAAGGAAATTTATTTCCTGAGGTCATGACACAGGAAGTCAACTCCTAGCCGCTGTGGAGCTCTGATGTGAAGGTCAGAGTGCTGACTACATGCTGGGTGGACCAGGAAGCTGGAGTCTGTGATCACGAAATGCTCGATTACCTTGCTTAGTGTTTCACACAGTGGCGTGCCTGTCCAAGAGCACAGCATCAGGAGCAGACCCTGAGACTGCTGGGTGCTGACCAGGCCTGGAGAAGTGGCCACAAAGGGCCAGGCCACCAGGTTTTGCTGCAAGACCTCGGGGAAAGGGGAAGAGCATCAACAATTTATGAGGGTCCAGCTGCTGGGTCAGATTGAGACAAACCATTGTGTGGTTGGGTTTGGGCAGCAGGCTGGAAAGGTTTCTGCTTTTTTTGATCATTATCGTTTGGGGCCCCAAGGGAGGGTTTTGGGGGCCACCTGAGCCCCAAAGCTGGGAAATTCCTCAGAGCTGCTCATATCAGGAGCCTGTGGAGAGGAAAGACAGGGCTTTTAGTACAAGGGGGCTCTTGCTGGCTTACAGAGCTTCTGAAGGAGCTTCAACCCCACACCCCACTAGCCCACCAGCCTGGCCCATGGAGAACAGCAGAAGCACCATCTGACCTTTTCACTGCTGGTGGCGGTCCAGGGAGCATCGCGCACCACAAAGCCTTTGGATGGTGCTTTGGACTCTTCGTGTGCTGGGGGCTTCATATAAACCTGCAGAGCCTCACTGTCCACCACATCGGCCAGCTGCAGGGCAAGGGATGTAGTGCTAGTCAGTCTTCCGTCTGCCAGCTAAGCCTTCTTTTGACAGCTACCAAGGAGCCACCCACCCACTTGTCCTGCCTCTGGAAGCACACGCAACACTTGGTAGTCACCACAAGCTTGTGGCTGGGCCCAGCCCAGTCATGGACAGAGTGCCTCAGAGCCCAGCCTGGGTTGCCTTGAGAGCCCCCAAAGACTCTATCCACCTGGGACTTACATATTCCTCTTCTAGGTTGAGGATATGGTCAATGGCTTCCTCCACATTCTCTGGGAGTCCTGTCACAGTGACACAATTGGGGTCTGGGGCTCCGCTCTGTGGGAAGCGAATGTCCACCTAGAAGGGGCACAGAGTGTTAGATGGTATTGAGGAGAGAGCACTAGACCAAAGGACCATCACCATGTATGAGCAAAGTGTTCACATCCTCCCAGCCACATAGGGTCAGCAGCATAAGCAGGAGTCTTAAGATTGCTGGTGCCTGGCAAGTGTGAGAGCTGTGTGCCAGCTGGCTTCAGGGATTCACCTTGAACTCATCCATGATTTTCCGGATCGCTTTGCCTCGGGCACCAATGATGCGGGCATGCACACGGTGGTCCAATGGGACATCCTCAGAAACCATCTGCTCAAGCTCACCCACAATTTTCAGAATAGCGTCACGGGCAGCTTCAGTGTTCTTCTCATACCCTGTGATGGTGATTTGGTCCTGGGGCTTCAAACGGAGAATCAGTCAGAGAAGAGGGTGGCCCCTATGGGACTCCTCATGAAAGATTACTCTGAGATGAAACAGTGCAGATGTACAGGTAACGGCTCAAGGGCTGAGTGCATCAGACCTCACCTATGGGAGATACTCATCCTCTCAGAGAGAAAAAGGACAGAAAACACATTAGGTGGCTGATGTAAAATAGGAAGCTAGAGAGACGACTCAGTAGTTAAGAGTATTTGCTGCTCTTGCACAGGATCTGAGTTCAGTTCCAAGCACTCGTATCAGGCAGCTCATGAGATGCCTCTGGCCTCCGAAGGCATCTGCACTCACGTGGACTCACCTACACATCATTAAAATTAAATCCTAAAAACACAAAAACCCTATGGGGCTGGAGAGATGCTCAGCAGTTAAGAGCACTGGCTGCTCTTGCAGAGGATCCAAGTTTGATTTCCACCACACACATGATGGCTAATGCCCATCCCTAATTCCAATTCCAGGGGAATCCAACGCCTTTTTCTGATCTCCTCAGGCACTGCATGACATGGGTACACTTATATACATGCAGACAATACACTCATACACACACAAAATAAAATATTAATAAATAAAAAAACTCATTTAGTACTCATTCCTTCCCAAACCCCACACCAAAGACTGCCACCAACCCTGACAACTGTAGTTCAATCCCTGGAACTCACACGGTGGAAGGAGTGAACTATTCCCATGAGTTGTCCTCTGAAATTTACATGTGTGCACATGTGTCACACACACTAAAAATAAGTGCTTAAAAAAAGGGGGAGGGGACAAGACTAAGGAAACCTGCTCACAAAGAGGGGGAAGCACCAGCAGGCAGAGGTTTGGCAAAGGTCAAAGTCTGTAGCCCGTCAGCCTCCTGCTTCTTTGGAGGTGTGCAGGCTGCATGACAGAGCCCCCCTTGTTCTCTCAGACTCGTTGGCTCAGGTCCCTTGCACCCAGTGGGCACTAGCTGACCCATATGAGACCCAGTTGAGCAACAGTCCATTCAGGGCATATGGACCTGAGCAAAACAGCTGCAGCTCTTTAATCTTCAGGGTCCAAAACAAAGGGACAGAAAACGTGAGCCAGACCACAAAACAACAGCTACCTAGAAGCAACACCAAGAAGCTGAAAGACCCAGACTGGGAGGACAGAGAGACCTAGGGACAAAGGGAGAGGGGGGAAGCCCAAGAAATTCCTGTCCAGACTAAGGGGAAGGTCAGGCAGCAGGGCCAAACAGGCTACACCTACAACAGGCACAGCAGAGCTAGCTATCTCTAGCAAGCACACAGACACAGAATCAACTCCTTAAGTACAAGTAAAACTCTCACAGAAAAAAGCTGTGGATTAACAGAGACATGGGATTGGCAAGATGGCTTAGCAGGTCAAGTACTTGCTGCCAAAATGAAGGATTCGAAATCTGGGGCTCACATGGTGGAAGAGAACTGACTCCTGCAAGTTGTCCTCTGACCTTACATATGCACTGTGATACTTGTATGTGCTCACACATAAATAGGCCAACAAATGTGATTTAAAAAAAAGAAAAAGAGATGTGCTGCTTATTCTACCTGACTCACAGATTAGCTAGTCAAAATGGTAAATTATCTAAAAAATTACTAATTACAGGGAGACTAGAGGAAGATAAAGCATAGTGAGGATGACAAGTTAAAAAAAGTCGCTGGGCGTGGTGGCACACGCCTTTAATCCCAGCATTTGAGAGGCAGAGGCAGGCAGATCTTGTGAGTTCAAGGCCAGCCTGGTCTACAAAGCAAGTTCTAGGTCAGCTGGTGCTACAGGGAGACCTGGTCTCAAAAAGACCAAAAAAAAAAAAAAAAAAACAGCAGTGTCCATGCACACACATGTGTGCACTGCATGGCAGCACAATGTTTGGAGTGGAATAAGAAGACTACTGTAAGTCTTAAGAAAGTGACACATGCTTTTGGTAAGGACCGTCACAATGCTTTCAGGAAGATGTTTATATCTCATGTTAACCTTGAAGGATGCGAACACATTGAAGAAAATTATAGAGGAGAAATATTTAGGTGAGACTAATTGAGCTTTAGAAATGCTATAGATGGTAAAGTGTTTGCTGTGCAAGCATAAAGATTTGGGTTTCAATCCCCATGGCCCCTGTAAAAGCCAAGGCCAGTGGCACACACCTGTAATCCTCATTCAAGGCATGCAGAGACAAGAGGATCCCTGGGGCTTGCTCATTAGCAAGTCTAACTGAAAGGCTGATCTTTAGGTTTAGTGCAAAGGACGGGAGAGATGGCTCAGAGTACTAGTTGCTCTGCAGAGGACCTGGGTTTGAGTCCCAGCACCTACATGACAGCTAACAACTACCCATAACTCCAGCTCTAGGGGAATTTGATGCTGGCTGCTGACCTCTGCAGGCATTACACAACAGGGGTGCCCTTATATACAGGCAATACACTCATACACATAAAAAAAATTGGGCATAGTGGCATACGCCTTTAGTCCCAGCACTCAGGAGGCAGAGGCAGGCGGATGGAGATGGAGGCCAACCTGGTGAGCTCCAAGCCAGCTGAGACTACAAAGACCCTGCTTTAAAAACCAGAAAGTCAAGTTCAATGTGTGTGGCTGGAAGTTTCAGAAGGGAACAGGTTAGGAGACATGGAAAGAAAGACTGGAGACCTAAGCCCACCCATGAGGGGTCACCTCACCCGTAGTGCTGCTGTTGGATGCTTTCTGGGCACAGTGATTAAGGCCACAGAGCTTGTAGGATAAGTAAGGCAGAGCTGGCCCAGGCTCACTAGGCAGAGGCATTTGTAAGGCAGCCAGAGCCTCCACTCATGGAGGGCCACTTAAAGTAGAGGCTAAGGGAAGGAAGTTCTGAACACACATGTGAGAGTAAGCTAGAGGCAGATACGGAGGTGAGGTAGGCTAGGACTGTCCTACTTGCCAGATGGTAATCAGGAGAGGAGGTGGGTTATACTTAACATCATTTTGAGTGCAGCAGGAGGCTGTGTAGAGCTCATTAGGGACCATCAACAAATGGAATGGGGGTTGCAGAGAACCTAGACCTGGCTGTCTTTTGTCTACCTGCTTCTAGAAGCCTGTTGGGAGTCCGGTCTCAGGCACTGGACAACAAGATATGCACATGTGTAGGCACAATGGCTCAGGAAGGACCCAGTTGGGGTAAGGCCCAGGTTTACCTGCCAGGGGTGCCAAAACAGGCACAGGAAAAATACCCTAGACCTAAGATAGCAACATGGTTTCAAGGAAGCATTACACAGCTGGCAAGTACCAAGTCCTCAAGCCAAAGTCAGATTCTTGGACATCTGTCCGTCTGATTCACATACTTGTTCCCCACTGGCAAGTCACAGAAGCTGCCCTAGGCTGAGTTCCCAGGTTAAGGCAAGGGCTAAGAAGACTCCATCTGCCCCCACAGTGTTTTAACCATAGCATCCCAGATGGATGGTCTCTTACCTGGCTCCCATCATCCTTATCAGGAAACTGGATGTTTACATCATGCTCCAAGCGAATCTGAGTGATCACTGCCCCCTTTCTCCCGATAATTTTGGGATGGTATTTGGGGTCTACAGTGACGCTCAGCTTAAAACTCCTTAAAGCCTACAAATAAAGTGAGAGAGAATGAGACACAGAGAGAGAGCACTGTGTTTAAAGCTAAGCCAAGGGCACCCAGGGCCCATTCTAGACTGATTTTAAAAACATAATCCAGATACTCAATTGACCTGCTAACAGAAGGCCTTTAGCCACAGTGGTCCAGAACTAGGCACCCTTTGCTCAATCCCTGTCACTTTCTTTTCTTTTTTTAAAAGATATTTTATTGTTTTATTTTATGTGTATGAGTGTTAAGCCTGCATGTAGGTGAGTGCACCTGTGCCATGCTGCCATGCAATGCCCACGGAGGACAGAAGAGGCTGCCGGATCCCCTGCAACTGGAGATATGGACAGTTGTTAGCTGCCATGTGGGTGCTGGGATTCAAACCCGGTCTTCTGCAAGAACAGCCAGTGTTCTTAACCGCTGAGCCACCTCTCCAGCCCCAATCCGTCACTTTCAATCACTTGCTGTGAGAACTAGACATTTTGATCACTAATCACTGAATACGTTCTGCTTTTGGTGCAGGTTGCTGCAATGGCATCACCATGGAGGTGGGCACCCACGGCCCAGGACAGACAGGCTGGACAGTGACACGCTTGGGTTCTTGGTCCTATTCCTAGAATTTACGAATGTGGGACTGGATGAATCAGCTTGAATAACATCTTCTAGGCCTTTTAGGACTGGGGTATAGAAGAGGCCAGGAAGAGGGAGACAAGAGCATATAGGGGACAGACAGCTACTAGGACCTCCATGGCCAGAGCCTAGAGCTGTGCCATGAGCAGAGGACAGAAGGCAAGGTCTATGCCAGGGTACGCTCACAATGTACAAGCAGATTCAGGAACTCCGTCCCATCACTAGTCTGTACTCCATTCCTCTTGATGAAAAGCCAATTTCCCCAGCATGGTCTGTTTCCAGTTCCCAAATCACCCCACTCCTGAGCAGCACACCTCTCAGAATTCTTCAAAGCATGCCCTGCCAGAGGCATAGGAAGGCCTACTTATCAGCAAAAGCACTACCATCTACCTTTTGTGTGGGATCTGAGATACCGTAACATTTCTCCTGATTTGGTTGTGAGAGAAACCACAAATTAACACAGTTCAACTTTAAAATGGAGAGCTTTGCCTTTAGCTCTTCCACTAGCAGAACCTCTAGACCCCGACAGCATAGCTTCGTGACCTTCCTTGGCATGTGAAGTGTGTCCTGAGCACAGACTGGTCCCAGTCCCAGGCAGGCCTCACTGTTCATGCTCACCCGATCTTCTTGCTCGGCTTGTAGCTCCTTTACTCGATCTAGTAGGCCTGCCTTGGCCCTGTCCAAATTTGCAGCAAGGCCAGTGATGGCGATGATGTCCGACTGCAGTTCGGGAGCTGGTACGTGTATATTAACCTGTGTCATGACAGAGCACATTTGATGTCTACAGGACCCAGAGGCAGAGTCTGACCTCCTGGGGAGGATTTGCGGAAGACCTGGGAAGGTCAGTGCTAGGGTGGACAGGAGGAGGCAGAGCCAATGTGGGTCAATAAAGGATGCTGGCACTCAGAAAGCCATGGACTTTTTTCAGATAACTATAGATGCGATAGCCTTCCCTATACAACAGTCTCCAGCGAAAGTGGTCTAACCTCAAACTCATCCATCATCTTGCGGATCCCACTTCCTTTCTGCCCAATGATGTAACGGTGCAGATCGAAGGGTACCTCTACCTCGATGGTGACAGGAACCAGTGCCTGCAGGAGAACGGTGGAGTTTAGCCAAGAGTGAGAGCACAGTGATCTCATGAGCTCAAGGGTAACAGCCCTGAGGACAGCCCATGCTTTCTAGTGCCAGCTGACAGGACTGCACAGATCCTAGTGCAAAGGACAAGGAGTCCAGTCTAGGGTAAAGCTGGCAGAGGATTTACGCCTGCCCCCACACCTGACCTCTACACTACAAAAGGCTGGGTGGGGCCAACTGGGAAGGAGGAGACGTGGCACAGAGAGGTCCAGCTTTTAGCATGTCCCTGAGGCTGTAACCACTTTGGCAAAGCCTGTATGGACTGCAAGGATGGCTCTTGGACAAGTGGTTCATTTGTCTGTACTCAAGTTCCAACACATAGTGTCCATCACCCATCCTCCACAGCTTTTGTTTTTATGCAGCAACTACTATCAATCAATAGAGACCATTATGCTGACACTCTGGCTATGCTGTGGTGCCATGGTGTTTACAACAGGACTCAACACAAATGTCTCAGTTATGACAAGACTGAGGTAGACTATCTCTAATTCAGTGGGGGAGGAGGTGGATGAACAGTATACTGGACCCTATGTTGCTGTAATGGTTGGTTTTAATGTTAACTTGTCACAAATTATAATCACCTGAGTAGGAAGCCGCACCTGAGGACTCTGCAACTACTGGGTTCTTGGCCTTTCCCATATGAGGTGAGATAGTCCTTGGATTTCACTATGAAAGCTGAGGCACCCAGGCTCATTGATAGAGTAACTACTGAGTTCTCAGCTTCTCAAGTGTGAGGTGTGAGTCAACTGTTATTATTTCAATGTAAGTTGATTTAATAATATATTCTTTTTTTTTTTTTTTTGGGTTTTTTTGAGACAGGGTTTCCCTGTAGCCCCAGCTGGCCTGGAACTCATAGATCCACCTGCCTCTCCAGCGCTGGGGTTAAAGGTACATATCACCACACGTGGCCTAATAATACATTCTTAAAAATATGTATGTACATATTCTATTGTTCTGTTCCTCTAGAGACCAATACAACAGCTGTCAAGGGACTGGACTGGAAAATCTTGAGTCCTGGTGAGGAGAAGTGGCTTCCCTGGGTTATATGACCAGTTAGGCAAGGCATACAGTCAATGCTTGCACTTCTAAGATTGAAATAACAGACCCACCATCTGTTGCCACGTGAGCAAAGTCTCCCTCAAGGAGAAGGAAGCCAAGTACATGTACCTCCAGGGCCTCCTTGGCAGCCTCACACTTTTCTTTCCGGCCAGAGATGACGATGATGTCACACCTCCTGGGAGAGCCAGGGTCAACCTCCTTGGCCTCCCTGCTCTCTCCAGTCTCATCTCCATTTTCTTGGATGGCAGGCTCCACACTGTGAACTAGGAATAAAGGGGGAAAGGCCAGTTGGAAACTGTGCTCTGTAGCAATTGTTGCACCTACACTTTGAAACCAGTATTTGATAAGTATCTGCTATGTGCTGGTTGAGAACAAGAAAGAAAGAGCCACCTGTCCTTAAGGAGGCCACATCTGGGCAGAGAAAGACGCAGGGAGCCTGGTATGGGGCTCTTAGGCCTGGGTGGCAGTGCAATGTAAGCCTCACGGGAAGGCTAAGTTCCAAAATTCCCTTCTCACCTTTGAAAGGAGCCACTGTGTAACTGCAGAGGTATAAAGGAGATACAGCAGTGATTCACGGTATTCAGAACAGCCCTATTGTTTGGGGAGCCTGATGGTGAGGCAGTGCTCACCACAGGAGAAGGACACATAGCTCAGTCTAGGTGATCTAGGTCTGGACAGGTAGTGGCAGGGTTTCAGAGATTTCGGATATACTCAGGGAGAGGCCAAGGCAGACCCAAGCCAGTTCCTCATGCTACAGAGTAAGAAGAGCCCAAGAACGAAAGGGCACGTCACCAACGCAAGCTGGAAAGGGGCTCCACTTTGTAAAGGACCAGACAGCATTCACCCACGGATCAAAGTAAGCTAACAGGAAAGAGAGGCAGCATCTGGGAGTAAGCCAAGGAAGGGTGGCTTTGGAAGATGGCTGTAACATGGCAGTCTAGAAACAGACCATGAGTAAGGTAATAGTATGCAATGTGAGCTCCAATCTGGAGCTAATGGCTAAGTTCAAGCATGTTTGTGTTCTTAGGAGATATCCACCATCAACAAAGCTCTATACATAAAAGTCATTCAAATGAGTCAGAAATATGTGATCACAAAGGGAGGAGGGGGTTGAGGGGACATGGGAATAGAAATGACCGTAAACACAGTACTGATGTATGAAATTCTCAAAATGACATCTTAATTAACATTCTTTTCAAAAGAGGAAGAGGCTTCTAAGAAAGCTTGCTTTGACTTGGGATACATGGGAGGCAAAAAGGTGTGGCTTTCTGCTACTCCATGCAGGTCTTTTCTCTGTAAATATGAAATGGTATCAACATTAATGGTATATAAATGGGGCAGTATGGCTTAGTTTCCTAACAAAATGGCCTGTATCCTCAGAACATTGGCTGGAACAGTTCAGTGTCACAAGTACCATGGACATCAGGCCAGTGACACTAAGATACAGGATCACTTTGAACCACACTAACCAACAGGGAGATGCACCCTGTGTTTCACATATGCAAACTAGGCAGAGAAAGGTATGTGCTGCTCATATCTGATACCTCTGCCACTCAGTATTTTGAGACAAGGCCTCATCATGTGGCTCTGGCTGGCCTGGAACTTTCTAAATAGACCAGGCTGGTTTGAACTTAAGAGATCCACCTGCCTCTCCCTTCTGAATGCTGAGATTAGAGGCACAGTCACCATGCCAGAACTCTAATTTTTTTTTTTTTTTTTAACTTTTGACCACAGTCTACCCCATCACCAACTCCACAATCAGGCAATAAGCACATTAGACTTAAGGCCTTTCTAGAATAGCTGTCAGCCACCTCAATAGGGTCCCTTCTGGATAGATCAGAGACTTAAAAAAAAAGAGACACAACTTCGGGGGGTGGGGTTCTGAATGTGACTGAGCAGACATTCTTAGCACGTAAACACTCTCCTGAGAAACAGTGGAGTTCAACTCTCAGCAGTTCCCTAGGTAAGACACTGCAAGCTCCTAAATCTGAGGCCAGAGGGATGTCCCTGAAATCCATGGCCAGTATCCAAGTGCCACTGTAATGAAGAACAAGAGGCAAGAAAGAGTGACAGGGATGTGCAAGTGACTCACAAGACAACCCCAAGGGTGATGTGACTACCACACAGCTAAGCCTAGGCAGACCCACCTGGATTCTCTTCTCTGTCTGGAAACTTAATTTGAACATTGTAGTCCCTAGTGATCTGCTGGATTCTGGAACCTTTGGGGCCCATGACCGATCGATGGAACTTCTGGGGTATAGCACATTCCACTATCACCTGAGCTTCCTAAAGGGGCCACAAAAAGAGAGCAAAGGTCAGATACATAGGTTAACATAGGATAGTCTCCCTGCCACTGTCCTCACTAGCTTCCCATAACCCTTTATTAGCAGTCACACCCCCTTTTATGAGGTGAACCTAGAATCCTGGGTAGAGGGTGCACAGGGCAGAGGGGCAGGCTCTTTCTGCAGTGGGTCTCTGAATGAAAATACACCCAAAACCTACAGTACAGCTTTTATCACACAGGCTAAACATATACCTATTTTACAAACAGGAAAAGGAAGTGCTGTCCCACTGTAGCGAGCTGCCTGAGGGGTGCCTGCTGTCTAGGGGGTAGTCACATCAGACAGCTGAGGGACTTTGTGTTGTCTGAGTCTGGGACTCCGTGAGGAGGCACCAGATCGATTATTAGGAGAGGGCGTGTAAGGCCCTGAAAGGAAGCACCATGAGGCACGTGGAGGGAAAGACACACACCCCCTGAGAGCCCTCTCAGAGTCACTTAGGCACTCACCAGATCCTCAATGATTTCCTGAATGCGCTTCTTGGCTGCCTCCACACAGTCCTTGGCACCCTTGAGGGTGACTTTGTCACTCTGTGTGCCAGAGCGTGGGAAGCTGACCATCACCCCGCCATACTCTTCAGCAATTTCTCTTAAGACCTGACCTCTTCGAATGACAAAATGGCGGTGGTGCTTGGGGTCCACCAGCATGTAGTCTTCAACAACATTATCCTGTGGTGTGGAAAGAAGGAATGGAAGATGGCTCACTCAACCAATGGCACAAACAGAGCTGAGAGCCCAGATCACTACCTACCAGGTTCTGGATCAGTGTCTCCAGTTCCTTCTGGGCCTCTCGAACGGCATCCTCCTTTCCTATGATTGTGATCAGGTCCTGGTCCTTATCCTCAGCGGCTGGGAATATGATGCGGGCTCCAGTGCTGTCACGTACCTTGCGGATTTTGCCGCCCCCCTTGCCAATGAGAAATTTGTGGTACTCTGGCTTGGCTCGGATGTCAACAGTAAAACTCTTTGTTTGCTGCAGAAACAAACCACATGTAGATTAGCCCTACATAATCTGCCTGGACCACAGTGTGGGCAAACAAGAGACCTGGGAGGGCAGCATGGTAAGGTGGGCTCTTCTTCCACTGTCTGCAGAGTCTCATCAACCCCCAACCCACCTCACCTCACCAAACACAATCACACAAACTGCCAATTTACAACCCTGGTCTGTGTTTTAGTAGTAATGACTAAATTCCTCTAAGCAATTTGTGACCTGCTAGGGACTTGGTAACATGTGGTGGCAAGCTCAGAGTGCATGCCCTGAGAAGAGCAGGATGCACTGGACCCTGGCTGCATCACTTCCACCTTCTCACCTACTTCCAGACCAAACACACATGGAATACTCCCTGGGCCAGCCCTGCTCCCACCTGCAGTGGTACAGACTAGCCCAATGTATAACAGCAACTCCCAGGTCAAGCTCCAAAGCCACCAGCCATAAAGGCCACAGCCTCAGAAGACTCATGGTAGCACAAGGCCCTTGTTTTACATCAAGAAAGCAGGACAAAAGCTGAACACGGTGATTTCCTTATACTGTGTGTCTGGCAGACTCACTAGAGAAAACAGAGGACCCTTGCCTTTCCTGTGGATCTGTCACTTGGCCCACAGAATAAAAAATACAGAGGAAGAAACAGACTGAATAGCATACAAAATTTTTAAAATTTAATTTTGTTATTTTTAAAAAAATAATTGATTTCTCCAAAATACCACTGTGAAAATCTGTTATTCCTCAGACAAAGATATTTACAAACAGCAAATAACATTATTTAAAAATCAATGTGGGGGCTGGAGAGATGGCTCAGTGTTTAAGAACACTTGTTCTTTCAGAAGACCTGGGTTCAAATCCCAGCACCCACGTGGCAGCTAACAACTGTCTGTAACTCCAATCCCAGGGGCTCTGACAGCACTGCATGACACGGGTGCATTAATCTACATTCAGGCAATACAGGCATACACATAAAATTAAAATAATACATAAAAATTAAAAAATTAAAAAATCAATGTGGTGGCAAACACTTAGCAGTCCCATGCAATAAGGACACATACAGAGGCCAAATGCATTTCTACAGTCCAACCCAGGAAATGGGAAATTCCCATTTACGCATCACAAAAACAACGGAGATATGGAACATTTGTATGCTATCAATTACAAAGCACCAGTCAAGAATCAAAGATTTCAAAACTGGAAACTGGCACAAGATTCCAAACTAGGGAGCTGTCCTTCCTATCAATTTCATCTCCAGACTCAAGAAGACTACCAGAAACCTAAGCATGACTTTTCCCTAAAACTTGACAGCTTGATTCCATGTAGAAAGACAAAGGGTCTGGAAAAGCCCAAGCAATTTTTAAAAATTTAAATAATAAAAAAAATTTGAATGTATAAGTTTTCCCCATATGTGCATGTGTGTGGTCATGAGCACTTGTATATATGTGTGTGCACGCATGCATGTGTGTGCAGGTCTGAGCTTGACAGTGGGTCTCTTTCTTATTACCCTCCACCTTATATATTGAAGTAGGGTCTCTGGCTGAACCTAAGCTCACCATTTCTGCTTGGCCACCATACCCACCTGGCTTTTACATGGGCTTTGGGGACCAGAACTCAGGTCCTCACTCTTGTGTGGTAAGCACTTTATCTGCTGAGCCCATTTCCCCAATCCTCAAGCAAATTTTTAAAGAGTGTTTTGATTTGTTTCTTATTTTTTATTTTTATTTTTAAAATATTTTATTTATTATTTTTATTTTATGTGTATGAGTGTACTGCCTGCACGTAAGTGAGTGCACCCATGTTGTGCAATGCCACGGAGGTCAGAAGAGGGCTTTGGATTCCCTTGGAACTGTGGTCTTGAACTCACATAGTTCCACTGACTTCTGCCTCCCAAGTACTGGGATTAAAGACCTATGCCACCATGCTTATTTCTTTATTTAATTAATTAATTAATTAATTTTTTTGGTCTTTTTGAGACAGGATCTCCCTGTAGCCCCAGCTGTCCTGGAACTCACTATAGACCAGGCTGGCCTTGAACTCACAGAGATCTGCTGGCCTCTGCCTCCCAAGTGCTGGGATTAAAGGCATGCGCCACCACATCTGGCTTATTTATCTTTTTTGAGACAGGGTCTCCCTGTAACCCCAGGTGGCCTGGATTCGCTATGGAGACCAGGCTGGCCTTGAACTCACAGAGATCCGTCTGCCTCTGCCTCCCGAGTGCTGGGATTAAAGGTGTGTGCTACCATGCGGGGCCCTGATTTTTTTTTTTTTTTAATTTTATTATTTTAATTTTATGTGTATTAGTGTATTACCTGCATGTAAGTGTACTTGTGCCAGGCAATGCCTGTGAAGGTCAGAAGAGAGAGTTGGATTCCCCTGGAACTGGAGTTACAGATGGTTGTTAGCTGAGTACCCATAGAGGCCACAAAAAGGGCATTGGATCTCCTGGAGTTGGGATTACTGGCAGTTGTGAGTTGCCCAACATGAGTGCTGGGAACTAAGCTCCAGTCCTCTGCAAGAGCGCCAAGCTCTATCTAGACCCCTAAGCAATATTTTCAAAGTACAAGCTTGAAGGATCCATCATTAGCTGACGTGCAAACTTCCTCTAAGGCTAGCTACCGCATACACATGGTGCTGTCCACAAAGAAGAGCCTACACTCAGACCCAATTTCCTTTTCTTAAAAAGGCAGGGTCAGCCGGGTTTGATTCCCAGCACCCACATAGCAGCTACGAACCGTCCTTAACTCCAGTTCCAGGGGAATCAAAGCCCTCTTCTGACCTCTGTGGCATTGCACAACATGGGTGCACTCACATACATGCAGGCAATACACTCATACACATAAAATTAAAACAACAACAACAACAACAACAAAACAGGGTCGGCTGGGCACGGTGGCACATGCCTTTAATTCCAGCACTTGGGAGGCAGAGGCAAGTGGATCTCTGTGCCTAGTCTACATAGTGAGTTCCAGGTCAGCTGGGGCTGCAGGGAAACCCTGTTCTTAAAAAGACAGGAAGGAAAAAAAAAAAAAAGACAGGGTCTCACGTAAGCCCTGACTGGCGTAGAACTCAGAGATCTGCTTGTCCTCATGCAGGGATTAAAGTCTTTAGGAGAAGATGGTGGTCAATAGTGGCCAATAAACTTTGATGGCAGTGGTGGTCACGTGACTGGTCAAAAGTCAGAACTACACAAAGAATCTTGAGTTTTACTGTAAATCATACTTTTCTTTTTTTTTGTTTTTGGTCTTTTTGAGACAGGGTCTCCCTGTAGCCCCAGCTGGCCCGGAACTCGCTATATAGACCAGGCTGGCCTTGAACTCACAGAGATCTGCCTGCCTCTGCCTCCTGAGTCCACACTGAGAAATGGGAGCATCAGGTGAAGACTTACCTTCTCCTCAGCCAGGTGCAGGAGCTGCTTCTTGGCCTTCTCCACATCTGAGGAAGGACCTCTGATGACAACTGTGTCACTTCCGGAACCTTCCACAGGAAAGTGAATGTGGACTCCACCACACTCTTCCATGATAGAGCGGATCAGACGGCCCTTTGTGCCAATGAGAGAGTTGTGCAATTTGGCGGGGATTGAGACCTCCACCTCAGCTATGTTTGCCTGAAACAAAACAGCAGCAGGAAGAAGTCACATTGTTGTGTGGCAAGAAAAGGCCAGAAAAAAGTAATTCAGTCACAGCCTGAAAATGTTTGTGGAAACAGGGCAGGGAGACTTCCCAAGGTGTGCTAGGTAGAGGCCAGCAGTGGCACACACACAAAACACTAGCAAAGACATGACTTTAGATTATTCAGGGTAGGGCTTTCCTGTTTTAGTCAACTCTGGAAGTGGCTGGCATATGTGAGTCCAAAATACCCACAGATGAACCTTCCTATTGAAGATTCTGCTTTCAGTCAAGATAAAGTAATAAGAGTGTGAATGTACCCTTTACCTGAGAAAAGTAATTTTCATGATACTGGTGATGGAAAATGGGCAAGATGAGTTGCGTGAGTACCCAGAGGTGAGGAAATAGAGCTAACAGCCACTCAGGGCTGAAGCAGCACAAGGGGAGCATGGAAACCCTGAGACATGGAGGCTATGCACATGCTCCCCTACGCAGACATCACTCTGGGCTGAGGAAGAAGCCCAGGACTACAAGGGATGTGCCTGCAATTTAGTCATGAACTAAAGCACCATCTTCAGGAGGTGATAGTTTTGGTTTTCTGGACCCCTGGGCAATACTCAGCAGAAGATACTTGGGCTTCAAGGCACAATTCTAATCCTCCGTAACAAATCTTAAATCCAAGCCCTGAAAAAGACAAATGGCTTGTGAATAGCTTGTAAAGAAAAAAGCAAAAGCCCGTAATAAAGTGAATAGGAATCTGCCCATACATTACACGGATGTTAAGGTAAATGTTATGGCCAATGACGCTGAAACAGGAACGTAGCTATATCGAGGCCAAAAGCCAAAGGAAGACTGAACATGTTTTAAGTAGTGCCTGAACTTCTGGACTAAAACGAATAATACCTAAAAGAAAATGTACTAGATGGGCTCAGAGGTAAACCGTACAGTGCCAAGAATGCAAGAAATACGAGTAGAGCAATCGCATGTAAGTTGTTAGGTTCCCAGAACAAAAACAACAGGGATTCATGGGGAAAACACGAAGAAATAATGACTAAAAATTTCTCATTTGATGAAAACCCAGGTAACTTCATGAACACCAAGCAAAGAAACATGAGGAGAGTGACACGGAAACACACTTTGCTTAAGCCAGTGATAAGGGAACAGGATTCGTCAGACACAGGGCAGAGTGATGGTGGTATCAGGTTTCTTCTAGAAATTGGACAGTGAGCAGAAGACTCAAGAGTGAGTCTAAAGCAAAGAAGGGAAAACTACCAGCCTAGAAATGGGGAAATCCTTAAAAAAATGCACACGACACTCAACAGCGGGAGACCCTTCAGGCACAGAAGACTGTAAATCACACAAGGCGGCACCACAGAACAACGGCAGGAGCAGGGTGAGGAACTGGCAAAAAGTCATTGTGGAACTTGGGGACACTTGCCGACAAGATTAAAAGGATTACTGACATAAGACACACACGCATGCATGCACCCCCCCCCAAAGCAGTCATGAACAAATCAATGATTCATCAAAATGTTCAAAGAAGGGGTTGGAGAGATGGCTCAGCAGTTAAGAACACTGACTGTTCTTGCAGAAGACCCAGGTTCAAATCCCAGCACCCACATGGCCGCTAACAACTATCCATAACTCCAGTCTCAGGGGATCCAATTGCTTCCTCTTCTGACCTCCGCAGGCATTGCATGATACGGGTGCACTTACCTACGTGCAGGCAATACATGCATACACATAAAATAAAAAAAAAAAAAAAAAAAAAAACATTCAAAGAAAAGAAAAAGAACAAAACCGATGGGACAAATGGAGAGCCAAGAGCAAGATTTAAACCCATCAAAAAACAGTGACACCAAAATACCCAGATGTTTACTTACAGGAAAAATGGCTGAAATGATAAATTATGTTACATGTATTTCACCAAATTAAAAAATGAAAGTTTACAGTAAATGCAATTTAATTACATTTCCTAAATATATAACTATAAGGTGATACTAGATCAAATGAAAAAAGGAAGTTGGGGCTGGAGAGATGGCTCAGTGGTTAAGAGCACTGGCTGCTCTCCCAGAGGACCTGGGTTCAATTCCTAGCACCCACACGGTGGCTAACAACCACCTATAACTTCAGTTCCAGGGGTTTCAACACCCCCTTCTGGCCTCCATGGGCATTGCATGCAGAGGTACACTTATACACATACAGGCAAAATGCTGATACACAAAAATAAAAATTTAAAAATCACTTTAACATCAGAAAAAGTAAATTTTGGAGTAAATACTATTATGAGGGCTAAAAGGAGATCACTTTATAACGACACAGATTGCAAATACCAAGGACAGTTCACAGGAACACAGAGAGCAAGGGCTATGGGACTACAGTAAGACCTCATGAACAGAACTCAACTTGGGTAAAAGAAAAAAACCTCCTAGGCTGGTGAGATGGCTCAGTGGATAAAGGCACTTGCCAGTGAGTCTGATGATCTGGTGGAAGAGAAACAACTCCTACAAGTTGTCATCTGACCTCCACATGCATGTCATGGCGCACCACACACATATACAGAGGAAAAACTCCTGAAAAAGACTGTCAATTACCAAGTGAAAGAAGCAGGTGACTTATCCCTATGGTGAAATACCACTTTGCTACAGGAAGAGGAAGTGAGGAGCCACAATAACAAAGGCAGACCTCAATACCACACAAAAAGACAGATGAGCACTACCGGCAAGGAGACACTGACTCCACCACACAAAGTAAAAAACTCCACTCAGTCTGTGCAGCTAAAGGCAGATCATGGGCTGCCTAGGGTAGGGCAATGGTGCAGAGACCAGTAAGCCTTTTTAAGGTGATGGATACAGTCACCAATTTGGTTTGTAGGGATGCACTAGATAGTATTTCCTGAATTAAAACATTCTCTCCTGTCAAGTCTTAGTAAGTAAAGGAAATTTATAAAGCTTAGGAAGTAAATAAAGCTTTAAAAGTCTCAGGCAGCTCCTGAAACTTACAAGATTCACAAGACCCCTCCCCAAGGTTATCTAAGCAGTTAACAATTGCTGGGAAGAGACTCTCTCTGTGGTCAGGATGCCTACAAGTGGTACAGACAGGTCCAGGAATACAGCTATCCTGAGTAGTCATTCCTGCTCTATAAGTAAGTCCCAAAACTCACTGGTTCACCAACTTGGACTTTGGTGGAATTGTTACTTTGATGTGTCACTGATGCCCTATCTGGTATGAAAAAAAGAATTTTGGGGGGAGGGGAGTGTTTTTGAGACAGGGTCTCCCTGTAGCCCCAGCTGGCCTGGAATTCAGAGAGATCCACCTGCCTCTGCCTCCCGAGTGCTGGGACTATAGACTTGTGCCACCATGCCCAGCATGAAAATAATTTTTAAAAAAATTTATTATTTTTATGTATATGCATGTATTGCCTGCATGTAGGTATGTGCACCTATGTCGTGCAATGCCCGCTGAGGTCAGAAGAGGCTGTCGGATCCCCTAGGACTGGAGTTACGGACACTTGTTAGCTGCCATGTGGGTGCTGGGATTTGAACCTGGGTCTTCTGCAAGAACCACCAGTGTTCTTAACCATCTCTGAGCCATCTCTCCAGACCTAGAAAAGAATTCTCTCTCTCTCTCTCTCGTGTGTGTGGGAGAATGTTTTCAGGCATACATATGGAAGTCAGGGGACAACCTTAGATGTCCACCCATGCCTTCCACCTAGTTTGAAACAGGGCCTGTTTTGCCACAGCATAGTCAAGAGTAGCTGGCATGTGACTCTGGGGCTTCTCTAGTCTCCACTTCCCAGCATGCTGTTCAAACACTGAGATAACAGAAGTGTACTACTGCTTCTGGCTTTACATAGCTTCTCTGGCTCTGAACCCATGTCCTCCTGCTTGTTTGGCAAACACTTTCTGAACTGAGCCATCTTTCCAGACCCAGAAATGATTTTCAAGTGGCATAAAAATTAACAAAAATGAAATGTCCAATATTGCTGTAAGGCCAAGTAACAAACCCTGCAAGAGACAGGGAGAGAGAACTATTGTTCCCTTGATAACTGATGCTCAGATTTACAGCTTGAGTCTTTCAATGAGTCCCATATAAGCCCAATGACCCTGTAGGAGTAGTCCAGAAGATCGGCTAGAGATTTTATAACAGAGGAAATGGGTAAGATCTGCATCAAGAAACATCTCCTAGGGGCTGGAGATGCTCAGTGGTTAAGAGCACTGGCTGCTCTTGCAGAGGACCTGGGTTCAAATTCCAGTACCCACATGGCAGCTAACAATTGTCCCCCACTCCAGTTCCAGGGGATCTGACAACCTCTTCTGTCCTCTGCAGGCACTGCACAACACGGGTACACTTACATGCAGGCACAAGACACACATACACACACACACACACACACCCAGAGTAAAACTTAAAAAATAAACATCTCTGGGGCATGGTGGTACACGCCTTTAATCCCGGCACTTGGGAGGCAGAGGCAGTGGATCTCTGTGAGTTCAAGGCCAGCCTGGTCTACATAGTGGGTTCCAGGACAGCTGGGACTACAGGGAGACCCTGTCTCAAAAAGACAAAAAAATCCACAAAAACCCCAAACAAAGCATCCCTTTACCAGGTCTTTCTGGATAGACAGAATCCGGCTCCGGGCAGCTTCACAGTTGGCTCGTTTGCCGGTGATAACAATGGTCTCAGAGTTGCTGTTCTCTGCAGGAAGGTCAATCTTGGTGTTGCTTTCCTCACGAATCTACAGGGAGGGAGATATACAAGAGAAGATGACCAGTCTTCCCACAGAGACCCCTGAGCACAGGCCTGGGAAGGCAAGGCCAGCTCCTCCTTTGAATGTACAAGGGGATGATACAAAGGCTCTAGAGTTGGGTAAGAGCAAAGATCCAGGGAAGGAGCTCATCACCTTTTTAATGTTTGCACCTCCTTTCCCAATGATGTTCTTGTGAAACTGCTTGAAGATCGGAACAGAAATTGAATAGCTATTTTCCACCTTAAAGACAAGAAAATAGCGCAATGAACTATCCATGTCAGAGGGTGAAGTCTTTTTATCCCCCAAAGCGCTATGAACTCAATAGACACTGGCCACACAGACCCAGGTTACTTTTTCCCCCACCTACTTGACTTTCAAGGCCTATCATTAGGACAAGTGAGGTAAGCTGTCCACCATCTGATTAACTTGGTGTATTAATTTATAGAAAGCCCTTTATTTTTTAAAATATTTTATTATTTTTATTTTATGTGTATGAGTATATTGCCTGCATGTATGTGAGTGCACCCGTGTCGTGCAATGCTGAGGAGGTCAGAAGAGGGCTTCGGATTTGGATGGTTCGTAGCCACCATGTGGGTGCTGAATCGAACCCAGGTCCTCTGCAAGAGCAGTCAGTGTTCTTAACTGCTGAGCCATGTCTCCAAGCCCCCATAAAGTCCTTCCATAAAAAAAGTTTGTACTCAGCACGATCTGAAGCTCTGCAATACAGAAGCAAATTTGGCCATAGACCCTCAAACAACATTCTGACTGAGGGAGTCTGTCCCACATGCTAGGATTGGAGTTGATGGAGGGAGGGGCTCAGAATCCATGTCTAGGAACACAAGACTCTGGCACTGTGAGAAGCATGGCATTCAGTAGCTACATGGCAACAGTTCAGTGCTCCATGCTGTCTCCTTTCTCAAGGGAGGAAGAACCGTAATGATGCCCTCTTGGGTGATCTGGACACACAGTGGTTTGTGATGCTTTTCTATCAGTTCCTTTTTTCGCACTTTCTAAACCTTTTAAAAGGCTTATTTTTCCTTTCTTTGGTCTTTTTGAGACAGGGTCTCCCTGCAATCCCAGCTGGCCTGGAACTTGCTACAGAGATCTGTCTGCCTTTGCCACATGGAGTGCTGAGATTACAGGCATGTGCTATCATGACTACTTTCCCAGTTCAACTTGAGGAAAACAGTAAATTCAATACATGAGTCTCTTCATGTGTGTTATTTCTCTTATCCCACCAGTTACACTAGATTCTCTGAGTATCTGCAGAGCCCCTCAAGAAAAAAAGGGACTCCTCACTGAGTTCTACCACACATCTTGACAACTTTTGACAGTATAAACTAAGTATCAAGGGGGTTAGAGAGACGGCTCAGAGGTTAAAAGCACTGCTCTTGTGGAAGACCTGGGGTTGGTTTCTAGCACTCACATGGTGGCTAGCAACTGTCCGTAACTCCAGTACCAGGGGATCTGATGCCCTCTTCTGACCTCAGCAGGCACTGCATGACACAGGTGTACTTACATACACGCATGCAATACACTCATACATGTACATTTAAAAAAAGCGAAAGAAACTAAACATCAAGTTACTAAGAGAGATGCCATGACCACTTTGTAATAAGCCTCTGAGGCGGCAGATCACCTCAAGGTAGAGCTCCAACCAGCACTCAGGAGTTTTGTGGGACCCCTGCACCCCATCAGAGGATTTAACGTTCCCTACCAGGTCTGCCACCATCTTCTGCATATACTTTGTGCACTTTTCCACCTCATTCTTTGGCCCTCGGAGTTGCACAATATCACTTTTTTGTGCTGGGTCTGGAAAGTTGATGATAACCTAGAATAAATTATCAGGAGATGGAACACAATTATGAGGAGGACTGGGTTCTAAAATACTCAAAACTGGGCCGGCAAGATGCCACAGTGGGTAAAGGCACTTATTGCCAAGCCTGATGACCTGAGTTCAGGACTCACAGTGTTAAGAAGAGAACAAAATTGTCCTCTTACCTAAATTCACAGACCCACTGTGACATGTGTGTCTGAGCACCCGTGTGTGCATACACACATACACACAGACACAAATACGTTTTTTTTTTTTTTTTTTTTTTGGTTCTACTATACTGCTAGTTTTCTTTGTCAGCTGTATTTGCATTATTCTCTCATTTAATCATTGAGTCTTTTTCAAGTTTTCTCTCTTCAC